TCATAAATTCTTTGCCTAGGCCAATGTCTAGAAGAGTATTTCCAACATCTTCCTCTAGAATTCTAATAGTTTCACTCCTTAGGTTTAAATCTGTTATCCAGCGTGAGTTGATTTTTGTGAGAGGTGAAAGGTGTGGATCCTGCTTCAGTCTTCTACATGTGGCTATCCAGTTTTTGTCAATCTCTGTCTTAATTGCTGACTTTAATCCAGTTAAATTTAAAGTGATTATTCTTAAGACAGTAAGGACTTCTGCCATTATACTACATTTTTTATGTCTTCTCTTTGTTCCTCAATTTTTCCAATGTTATTTTTCTGTTTGATTATTATTCCAATTGTTTTTATTTGAGTTCCTTCTCATTTCTTCTTCTGTATTTTTTATTTTTTGATTGGTTACCATGGGAATGATAATAAACCTTTTAAATTTATGACACTATATTTTAAATGGATACTAAATTAGCTTCAATATATGTAAATATTCTGCCTCCATATAGTTATTTCCCTTCCTCTTTATGTTTTTATTGTCATAAATTGCATCTTTATGTATTATCCATTTATTAACATGTATCTATTGTTGTGTCGGGCATTTATTTTTATATTATATAGATAATAAAAAGAGAAGTTGCAAGCCAAAAATATAATAACACTTATTTTGCATTTCCCTATAAGGATACCTTTACCAGAAATCTTTATTTCTTTGTACAGCTTCTAGAGGCTCTCTAGGGTAATTTCATTTCAATCTGAACAACATTTTTAACTCTTCTTGTAGGAAAGATTTACTAGAAACAAAATCCGTTGGCATTTCTTTATTGGGAAATGTCACATTTTTCTTAATTTTTAAAGGATAGATTTATCAGATACAACATTCTTACTTTACAGTTTTTCTTCTTTCAGCACTTTAAATATGTAATCCCTCTGCATTCTGTGCTCCATGAGTTCTAAGGAGTAATTAACTGCTGATCTTTTGAGAATCTTTTCTTCATAATGTTACACTTCTATTTTGATGTTTTCAAAATTTTGCCTTTGTCTTTGGTTTTTTTTTTTTTTATTAATTAATTTATTTTTTTTTTATTTCAGCAAATTATGGGTGTACATACGTTTAAGTTACGTGTGTTGCCCTTGGTTCCCCCCCCCCACTGAAGTCCGTGTTTCAAATATGTCCATCCTTCGGGTAGTGCGCATCTTTGTCTTTGGTTTTGACTGTGTTATTAACAGTCCTTGGTGTGAGATTCTTTGAATTTATTCTACTTGGAGTTTTGAACTTTTTATGCATACAATAATATTTTCATCAAATTTTGGGGTTTTTGCCATTATTCTTTGGTTTTTTTTTAAAATTTATAAGTTGAATTTTATTGAAGTCATGCATATAGAGGAAAAAACATAGTATTATTTCTTCCCTCTTCTTTTCTCTCTTTCCTTTTCTTCTAAGAATCCCATAATGCTTATGTTGGTACCTTTCATGGTGTCCCACAGTTTCCATAGTTTCTGTCAATTTTTATTTTGCATTTGTTTCATCTGAAGACTGGATAATTTCAATTTTCCTATCTTCAAGCTACGTGATTCTTTCTTCTGCTTCCTCAAATCTCCTGTAGATTTCTTCTCATAACTTTTTCATTAAGCTGTTTTACTTTTGGACCCCAGACTTTGAATTTGTTTCTTTTTTAATTTGTATCTTATGCTTGACTGTCTGTATTTGTTCATACATCATTATCCCAGTTTCCAGTACTTCTTTTTTTCATGTTTTCTTTACCTTTGAGCATATACAATGAAGTTGATTTAATTATTTAACTAGTAAGTTCAATGTCTGGGTTTACCGAAGGAGGATTACTATAAATTCCCTTTTGGTGTATAAATGAAACACCATTTCTTTGTATGTCTCATAATTTATTAATGGAAACTGGATATTTTGAGTATTATAATGTGATAACTCTGGAGACCAGATTCTCCCCCTCTAGTCTTCACTATCATTTTTTTTAAAGGCTCCAAGCATCTATTCATCCAGTGCCTTTTTCAAACTATTTCATAAAACTCTATGACTTGTATGTGCTAATTGAAGCCTATGTACTTTTAGATCACTGGTCAGTCATTACTCTAACACAGATTTTCTTAGATGCCTGTAATCCAAATAAAAAAAGAAAAGAAAAGAAAAAAAACACTCTTCTTATTTTTATAGTTTGAACTTAAGCTGCAGTTCTTCCACAATGCTTGACCAGGCAACCTACAATTTTGTCTTTGCCTTCTCCTTACATTTCATTGAACTACAATTTTAGCCACGTATACTAGTCTATGGTCCTGCACTCTATATATGTGAAGTCCTTCAAAGTCTATGTTTCTCCAAGTATCTTCATCCTTAGCCTCCCTTTCAGACTTTTGTTTTTTTTCTACTCTTTACTGTGTCTGCTGTTACTTTCTTAGGTGGCAACAGAAACTGTATGCTTTTAAATGTCTTTGAAAAATGCCACCCAGAAAGGTGCTTTAGATTGAAAAGAGAAGCCTTTGTTTTGGACCCTTGGGTAACTTCCAGACAGTTCAAAACAAGCCAGCACACTTTTTTGAAAATAAGGCATGTATTGTTTCCACTCACTGGCACAAGAAAGCTATACAAAGTATATGCGTTACCATCCAGTGGGCTCCACCAACATGGAGAATGAGTATTGTTGGTGGGTAAATAAAGATAACGAAATGCTTTCGTTATCTTGGACCAACAAATTTTATATCAATATGTGGTAACCTTAGGCTTTTATTTCTCAAAAAATATATTATTTTTTTTGATTAAAAAAGGACTAAACTTTATTGACAAACTGCTGCAGACATTTTGACATAAGTTTAAGCTACCTATTTAGGCAGACTTAACACATGTAGCATTTAACCTTCCGAGAACAAAATGGGAGGACAGTACAAATCCAATTAGGACTTTAACTTATGTACAAAGTGGATTTTGATTCCTTTTTCATTCAGCTGCAGTGTCCCTTTTTATATAATGCTAGTGGTGAGACATACTTGACTGTCTTGGGAACAGTTCAATATTGATAGCCATCAACTTAAGAAAATCATCAGCTTTTAGCCTCAGTGTCCAAGTGAGCTTTTCATGGAATGCAGAATCTCAGATGGACAAAATACTAGTCTTAAATACTGAAATTTTAATTATTAGTGCTATGACTGAAAGATTGTTTGTGGCTACAAAGCTCTGCATCAAAATCAATTCAGATGGCCATCCCCTCCCCCCAAATCAACCTCTTAAAAACCTATTCTCCCTCCCCCTAAGTATCTCTCAACACTGTATGTCTGGGGCTAGATTTCAAAACCCACATAATGAAAAAGTCAGTTTTACAAGCCTAATTTTGTTTTTTTTATATCAATTAACTTTAAAAATTGCATCAACTATTTAATTCATGAGGATCTTTCGTATTAAAATTTAGCCTTAAGATTCAACCGCCATGTGCTTTTAAAGGAAACATTTTTTTAGAGACGTCTGAGCTCACTTTTACATGGTGGCACCTACTGCCATTAACATTTGTGATTTTAAATCTTAAACAGCCCTGAATTTTGAAATGTAGCTTAGTTTGGGATTCTGCAACTACAACTTTACGGGATGCCTCAAATCAAAACTAAGAGAAAGTTAACAAGTCTTTACTTCAGAACCTTTAAGCAAGCAATGTCACTTTTGAAACTAACAGGTTTGTGGTTTTTTTTTTTTTTACTCAACTTCTTTTTTATTATAAAAGTTACACTTCTGTTTATATTTAAACAACAAAGAAAAAAAGCATCTACACACTTAAAAAATTAATTCGATATTCCTAAATCTATTTTAACTCATTTTAAAATACTACATACAGAAGCCAGAATGCAGAGTTAAGAATGGAATAAGGTGGGGAGAAGAAGGGGACCACGAAGAAAAACACTTAGACAATTACTTATCTGTTGTGAGTAAAGCAACAGGAATCCTGGGAGATACAAGAAATCAGTAACAACTTTGCTCATAACTGATATTTTCCCCTCATGTTTGTTTTTAATAACGTCCATATGGGTGCTCTCTGTATGCTCCCTTCACTGGCTTAGCTGGAGGGGCCTTCAGTGATGGCCTGGTCCCATTCCAGTCGTCCTGGCCATAAGCTTCATAAGAATCTTGAACCTCCCCATGTCCATAGTCATAATATTCTGAGTCCCCTTGGCTCTGGCTGTAATAGCCTTCGTACCCTCCATAACTCTGTTCTGCATATGTATCATCATATCCATATTCTTCATATGTTTCTGGTGCAGGGGGTGGAGGCAAAGGTATTCCCTGGAATCTCCTGTTCGTGCTCTTGGTGTTGGAGCGCCTCTCACAGTAAGCGGGGGTGGCACTCCTCGAGTCACTGTGGCACCTCTGGTGATGGCTCCCCTTACTGGTGTACCACGCACCAAAGCCCCACGAGGTGGCCCAACACCACGGCCCCTGGGAACAGGTGGAGGGGGAGGTGCAGCTCCTCGGCCTCTGACTGGCACCCCACGTCCACGAGAAGACTCAGGTACTCCATTCAAGTAGGACAGCTCTAGAAATTGCTCCTGGAAGATATCATCCATCATATCTGGTACTAGAAACTTCTTGACTTCCTCCATGGCATGGGCCATAAGAGCGTTAGCCTCACATGGGTGTCCAAAGACTTCAATGAAGACATGCAGATCCATATTTAAGTGAGCATATTTGGGGTCTCCACCTTTGCGCAGCTCTTCCTCCTTGGCTTTGTCTCTCATTGAGCCCTTTCCCAACACAGATATCTTTGCACCAGTCTCTTCCTGAAGTCTTTTGATTGTATTCCCTTGTGGTCCAAGAATCTTCCCCACAAAATTGAACTTGGGATACTGTTTGACAGGTATCAGCACCCGCTCTTTCAGCTTCATATTCTTATGAGAAAATAAATCCAAGTAATTCTCCTCATCGTCCTTTTTTGAATCTCCCTTCTGAATCTTCTCAATTTCTGCGGTCAGCAGCTGCATGGCGTGAGTGAAGGACGGGTCGAGCGAGTCCTTCTCCGCCATGAGTTCGGGCAGGTACTTGTTCTCCGGCTTCATTTTGACCGAGGCTGTAGCTGAGGGGGGCAGCAGCGCGGTCGGTGCTGGACCACCCACTGTCGCGTCGGAACCCATGGCCGAGGGCAGCAGCAGCGGTGGCGGCTGCGTGGTGGGCGAGGCCCGGGCTCCCCCCCGGACCCCACTCCGCCTCCCCCTCAAAAAATATATTATTGATGTGTTGAAAGATGGTGGAGGAGAAAAGCTGTCAATCAGAGTGTCTCTGCAAAAAAGACAGATTTTAGAAGACAGTGCAAAAAATAAACTAGCAGGAAAACAAAGATTGCCTGAGGGTCGGAAGGAAGGGTGCCTGAAACCACAGGAGACTCCACGGGAAGACACTGTGGAGGAGAACTGGAAGGAGAAATATCGACAAGAGGCTTGGAGACCAGCCACAAGGGTAGGGGGAGCAGATAACTTTCCCCTCCCTTGCATATCGGACTGTTGATGGGCTCCTGAGAAGTTGGAGAGACCTGCCAACACCAACCCAGAGACGGCTGCCACCAGTGTGTGGTGGCCTCTTGTGGACAGGCCATCAGGCTCCCAGCTCCCTCGGGGCACCTCTCCAGGCACAGATGTGAGCCTATCAGCAGACACCATATTGCTCCATTCTCTCCTTCCCCTTCCCTACCCGTGGGTGCCCAGAGGGACAACTTAGCCATCACACGGAGGCATCTCCAAGGAATGTGACCTTTCCTTTTGGGGACCTACAGCAGACTGAGGGATACTCACACTGTGAGCTCCCTACCCGCAAGCCCTCCCAGGTGCTGCTTGCCTGGTGACTCCAGGAGAGTGGGGCACATCCCAAGGTGGAGTGAAATCGATCCAGCTTGGGCACCCTGTAGGTGATTTGAGACCAGCACCCCTCCCCCTGGCAGGGTCACGGATTGATCTCCAGGACCCACGGGACAGGCCTGCAGACCAGACCCCATACACCCAGGTCACGATCACACTTCCCCGGAGCACAGAAGGGATATCTGTATAAGAGCCTACTGAGGAATGTGTGCCTTCAGGGGCAGATCAGCATGCCTGAGCAGCAACCCTCCTCCCAAAAGAGGGCTGTGCACCCAGCTCAGGCTGCGTTCCTGAGCAGGGAACATCCAGCCCATGTCACAGCCAGGGGAGATACATCGGCCTGAGGTCGTGCCTGCTGGCAGAGGCCTGGGAGAGGCCACGGAGACGGGGAGGGTGGAGGGGAGCGAGACCTGCCCAAGAGTGCAGGTCTCGGACAACCCCACCCCTCCAAGCCCAGAGATTTCAGCTGAGTGGAGCCACTTCAGCCCCTCCCGGCAGCTTTGCACAGAAGCAAAGAACAGACCTTTGACACCCGCTAACAGAATTGGTGGAACTTGAGGGCAGGCTTACCCAACCCAGCCCCACCCAGACTCACTCCTGGACCTGTTCCCACTGGGTGGAGAATAAGGACAAACCTGGAAGTCCCAGGGACCCACCGAGGCACAAGAGGTCCTCTCCAGAGAAACAAAAGTTGCTTATAGGACCCCATAAGCAGCACTGCAGCTTGCTCCTCCCAGCAAGTGCCACCTACTGACAAGGTGGTCATTCTGCACACACTTTTACTGCATCTACTGATTCATCATAAAGGGTGTGATCGAATCTCACCCACAAACACCACCTACTGGCTAAGAGACTAAACAGGGCGTGTCATTATCCAAACGAAAATCTAAAGGCAAGAAGGAACAACTGATCCAGATGGGAAGGAACCAGCGAAAGAACTCTGGAAGTATGAAGACTCAAACGGAAAGCACACCCCCAAAGAGGAACAACAGCTCCCTACCAATTGACATTAACGAAACTCAGAACACTAAAATGACAGAAGAAGAATTTCAAACACGGATTATTAGAAAACTCAATGATACACAAGAAAAAATGGATCACCAACACAAAGAAACCACAAAAATAATCCAGGACCTGAAAGAGAAATTCACTAAAGAAAATGAAATATTAAAGAAAAATCAAACCAATCTCCTGGAAATGAAGGACTTATTCAGGAAACTAGAAAACACAGTGGAAAGCCTCAAGAACAGGGTAGATCAAAGAGAAGAAAGAATCTCAGAAATTGAAGACAACTCCTAACAAATAAGTCAGTCACAGAGACTGAGCAGAAAATTAAGAGAAAAGAAATAAGCCTACAAGAAATGTGGGATTATGTGAAAAAATCGAACCTAAGGGTGATAGGGATTCCAGAAGATGAAGAAGAATACACTCAAGGGCTGGATAAGCTATTTGAAGAATTAATAGAGGAGAATTTCCCAGGCCTTGCTAAAAATCTGGGTATACAGGTACAAGAAGCTCAACAGACCCCAGGGAGATTCAATGCGAATAGAAAGACACCAAATCATGCAGTCATCCGATTGACCAATGTATCCCCTAAAGAGGCCCTTCTATGACCTGTGAGGTGAAAGAAACAAATAACATACAAGAAAAGCCCAACAGAATAACTCCAGACTTCTGAACTGAAACCCTACAAGCAAGAAGAGACTGGGGCCCCATTCTCACTGTTCTGAAACAGAATAGTGCCCAGCCCAGGATCTTGTATCCTGCAAAACTAAGTTTCATATATGAAGGAGAAATAATGACATTCTCAGATAAGCAAAGACTGAGGGAATTCACGAAGACAAGACAAGCTCTCCAAGAAGTACTCAAAACAGAATTACACAAGGATCACCACAATAAACACTCTTGAATGTAAAACCACTCAAAAGTCAAAGATCAAAGGCTAGATTCCACAATGCCTCAAGAGAGAAAAGAAAGCAACAAAATTCAACCCAACAGAATGAATGGCAATTCACCCCACTTATCGGTTCTCTCAATAAATGTGAATGCTTGAACTCCCCTCTCAAGAGACACAGGCTGGCCAAATGAATAAAAAAAAAAACAAGCCAAGCATCTGCTGTCTCCTGGAAACGCATCTAACCTGCAAGGATGCATATAGACTCAAGGTAAAGGGGTGGAAATCAGTATTTCAAGCAAATGGAAGCCAAAAGAAGGCTGTCATTGTGTTTTTCATCTCAGATAACTTAGTTATTAAATCAACAAAAGTAATGAAAGACAAAGACGGTCACTATATAACGGTGAAGGGTACAGTGGAATAAGAAGACATAACAATTCTAAATATGTATTCACCCAACTTAGGTGCACCCAGATTCATAAAACAAACTCTACTTGATCTAAACAAATTGATGAACAGCAGCACCACAATAGTCGGAGACTTCAACACCCCACTGACAGCACAGGACAGACCCTCCAAACAGAAAATTAACAAAGATATAACGGACTTAAACAGAACTCTAGAACAAATGGTCCTGGCTGATATTTACAGGCCATCTACCCAAAAACCACTGAATATACATTCTTCTCATCACCTCATGGGACATTCTCTAAGATTGACCATATTCTAGGACACAAAGCATGTCTCAAAAAATTTAAAAAAATAGAAATTATGCCATGGATCTTCTCAGATCACAGTGGAATAAAAATAGAAATCAACCCCAACAGAAACTCTCATCTCTACACAAAGTCATGGAAATTAACAACCTTCTGCTGAATGATTCCTTCATAAACGAGGAAGTAAAGGTGGAAATCAAAAGATTCTTTGAACTAAATGACAAAGGTGACACAAGTTATCAAAATCTGTGGGACACAGCCAAAGCAGTCCTGAGAGGAAAGTTTATTTCCATAAATGCCTATATCCAAAAGTCACAAAGAGCACAAACAGACAACCTAATGAATTGACTCAAAGAACTGGAAAAAGAAGAACAGACCGAACCCAAACCGAGCAGCAGAAGGGAAATTTATAAGATTGAATCACAACTAAATGAAATTGACAACAGGGAAACTATATGGAAGATTAATAAAAAAAAAAGTTGGTTCTTTGAAAAAGTAAACAAAATTGACACGCCTTTGGCTAAACTAATGAAAAAAAGAAATCAAAAATCTCTAATAAGCTCCATCAGGAAGAAAAATGGAGAAGTTACAACCGATGCTGTGGAGATTCAAGATATAATTTATGAATATTACAAAAAATTTTATGCACACAAACTGGAAAATGTGGAGGAAATGAACAAATTCTTAGAAACACACAGCCTCCCTAGGCTCAACCAGCAAGAAATAGAATTCCTGAACAGACCAATATCAAGGACTGAAATTGAAACAGCAATAAAAAACCTTCTTAAAAAGAAAAGTCCCGGACAAGATGGTTTCACACCCGAATTTTACCACACCTACAAAGAAGAACTGGTGCCTATCCTGCAGAAATTATTCCATGTTGGCATGGATGCAGAGAGATAGGAACACTGATATACTACTGGTGGGACTGCAAACTAGTGCAATGTCTGTGGAAAGCTATATGGAGATACCTTAAAGAGATACAAGTAGATCTACCATTTGATCCAGCAATCCCTTTAATGGGCATCTACCCAAAAGAACAAAAGGCACTCTATGAAAAAGACACCTGCACCCGAATGTTTATAGCAGCACAATTGACAATTGCAAAGATGTGGAAACAACCCAAGTGTCCATCAATACATGAGTGGATTAATAAAATGTGGTATATGTATACCATGGAATACTATTCAGCTTTAAGAAACAATGGTGATATAGCTCCTCTTGTATTCTCCGAGATAGAGCTGGAACACATTCTACTAATGAAGTATCCCAAGAATATAAAAACATGCACCACATGTACTCACCATCAAATTGGTATTAACTGATCAACATGTAAGTGCACATATAAGAATAACACCTATTGGATGTCGGGCAGGGGAGAGGGCGAGGGGGGAGAGGAGAGGAGTGGACGGGTATATGCATACACAAAGAGTGCAATGTGCACCATCCAAGGGATGGACACACTTGAAACTCGGACTTGGGGAGGGGCAAGGGCAACATACGTAACCTAAACATCTGTACCCCCATAATATGCTGAAATTTAAAAAAAGTTATTACACATTATCAATGATTCTGTGTTTTCTCAGATTCTATATGTGTCTATTTTCCATTAATTTATCAAAGGTTCAATTATATTAAAAATATGTTATTATTTTTCTGTATTCTTGATGTTCTAGCATTTGGGAGCATTACAGACCAGGAAGAGATTGCTCCTTCCAGAGCTATCCCTTTCTTTGACATTGCATA